GACTGAGAGGAAGGAGTATGAAATAGGAAGGGGGGAGGGGGTCACCTACGCAAAAAACCCACCCCTTGTGGTCATTGGAAAGCCCTTAAAACGTTGACTGTCCGATTTCCATATAGACAGTTGAAGCAATGTCTCATAGTCATAGCAGTTATCAGTTTCTTTTTAATTAAAAAACCCAGTCCAAAAGAAAAATGAAGGGAACATAATATCACACGAATTATGAAATAAAAAGTTAGTGTTGTTGTTATGACAAATACATGTGTATTTACAGACAGACAGACAGACAGACAGACAGACAGACAGACAGACAGACAGACAGACAGACGGACAAACAAACAAACAAACAAACAAACAAACAAACAAACAAACAAACAAACAAACGAACAAACAAACATACAAACAAACAAACAAACAAACAAACAGACAAACAGAACCAGGCACACAATTACCTAACAGGTCATGCGGCGAGGCGTGTAGGCCTGGGTAGGGGAAGTACGGGGCCGGCCTGTGAGCGGTGAAGGCCGCGGGTCCCGGCCTGTTCAAGATACTGTCAATGCTGAACGCACTGCCCGCCACTGTAGCGGCCGGGGCCAGGACTCCTGAGAGGCCAGCCTGGCACGACTTGAGGTGCTCCGCCGTCCAGGCAGCGGACAGGTGACCCAGGCCGCCGTATAAGTAGGTCAGTGGATGGAGGTGTGGCGCCAGGCTCAGATGGTCGAGGACTCTCGCGGGTGGGTGGAAGGGCGAGTGGCGGGTGGACGGTTCCGTGGACATCTTTAGTTTGAGTTCTTCTTGTAGACGTTCGTCGTACGTCATGGGTTGCACTCGGGCCGGGAGGTCTTTTTCCGGGGATCTGAGCATCTTTTGGGGGGGTTGGTGATGTTTCTGTTTTTCTCACTTTCCGACTGTTACGTGAGGCACGGTTGAGATTTTAGAGTTATACACCAATTTGAGATGATGACAGATGACTCTCACGTTGTTATTAGGCGCTGATAATGGTTTGTGCAATGCAATACTATGTGTTCAGAGACGTTTTCTTGTAGAGTTACAGAAACGCATGTCTCCTGCTGTGATGTCACCGAGAAATCCAGATCTTGGTCATTGTGACGTCACTGCATTCAGGGGTTGATGTGGAGGAATGCGTCCTGAAAGAGATTATTAGAAAAGGAAATGAAGCAGACAACGGTGATGCCTGTCAAACTGAACACAGAAAAAGAGAAGAGGGTAAAGAGATATAGAGAAATGGGGTGGGGGGGATAGAGGGAGAGAC